TACCTCCATTGGAAATCCATTTTATTTCGCTAAAGTGGTTCCTGAGATTTTCAAGTGAGAAAGATAATTTCCCTTGTCCGCTGTCATTGCCTAAAATCTGCCATGTTTTCTCAAATCAGGATGGGGAATGAGAATCCCAGTCTTGTTTCAGAACTATTTCTTGCTTGCTATATCTCTCCCTCTTTTTTCTTGGGTGCTCTTTGCTTTCTTACTTACATCCTTTCTGCTTAGTTTAGTCTCTATTTCCTCTTCTGCACCATTTATTGTGATTATTCGAGATTTCTATGAACTATTTTTGGTGTTGCAAACAGTGACCTTGTGAATTTCAATCTGGTGAATTCCATGACTAGATTCTCTATCACACACAGTTACTTGTCAATCAAATTCGCATGTTTTAGCTCATATCTTTTGTCTCAATCATCAGTTTCTGTTCTTTTTCCAGCTCGAATAATTGGTGTATGTTGGTTGTCATCCATAGCTTTCGAGCTTGATTGACTGCTAAAGAGAATCTGATATCCTATCAATCACGTTGCCATTCTAATAGCCTGCTATGCTGTGTCGCCACTCCCAAGTCTTATCCAACGAACATGGTCAAAATATTGAAATAAATATAGCAAATAACCCGTTAAGTAGACGCAGTCACATGAAAGATAATTAAGTGCTTATTATTCCATTCATTCACCTGGTATTTGCCGTACAGGTTTTATGTAGCAGAAGTTCTTCTTGCTTTGGAATACCTTCACATGCTTGGGATCATCTACAGAGACCTCAAACCAGAGAACGTGTTGGTGCGTGAAGACGGTCACATAATGCTCTCTGACTTCGACCTCTCTCTGCGTTGCGCCGTGAGTCCGACTCTCGTAAAATCGTCAAACTCAACCCTGGACGGAAGAACTTCGGGATACTGCATTCAGCCGACCTGCATCGAACCGACCTGCGTGATGCAGCCAGATTGCATCCAGCCCTCCTGTTTCACTCCTCGATTTCTATCCGGCAAATCCAAGAAAGACAAAAAGCCCAAGCCAAAGAACGAAACGCCACACCAGGTGACTCCTCTCCCGGAGCTCATCGCCGAACCCACAAACGCCCGTTCCATGTCCTTCGTGGGTACACACGAATACTTAGCACCCGAAATCATCAAAGGCGAAGGCCACGGAAGTGCAGTAGACTGGTGGACGTTCGGGATATTCTTGTACGAGCTTTTGTTCGGAAGAACGCCGTTCAAGGGGTCGGCTAACAGAGCGACTCTGTTCAACGTGGTGGGGCAGCCACTGAGGTTTCCAGAATCACCCACCGTTAGCTTCGCTGCTAGGGATTTGATCAGAGGATTGCTCGTGAAAGAGCCTCAACATCGTCTGGCTTATAGACGAGGAGCCACGGAGATCAAACAGCACCCGTTCTTTCAGAACGTGAATTGGGCACTGATACGGTGTGCAAACCCGCCGGAGGTTCCAAGGATAGTGGCCCTGAAAGAGATGGCGGCTCAGAAAGTGCCCGGCGTTAAGCCTGCCGGTAACTATTTAGATATTGATTTCTTTTGATCCTTCAATGTGTTTTATGGTATCTCCTGTGTGTTGTATCGGATTGAATTGGCGGGCAAAAAAGTTTCTGCTCTCTCTCGTTTAAACAAACGCCTCATTTCAGTGCAAAAAGAAATTGTGTTTGTGCATAATTGGCTCGTCTCTCTTCTCTGCACTCGAAAGAAGATTCTCACCTTTCCCACCATACACACCTGTGGCTGCGACTGTAACCATGAGATCTGATACTCCAAAGTGACCGCTTCTACTGCAAATAATCTTTGCAGGGTCTTGTTACCTGTGATGCCATTGCCACTCATCAAATTACGTTGGTTTCCTTGGTTATAAATTTCGGATATTGCCCCAGTGAGTCATAAGGATATGTTAGGGGCAGTAATCATGGATTCACACATCACTAGCTTAATTTTTCCTGATAACGTACATTTTCATGGCCATTCAAGACAAACTCTGCCGAAAACTTCTCTCGCTGTTTATTTATTTAGTTTTTTTTCCTCTTAGGGTTGGGCATTACGTTTTGTTTCTAGACTAGCTTGTAATATCTATGACTTTATATAATAAATCCTGATTATTATATATACTGATATGGTGCTAACCCCGCAAATAGGCCCTTTTTGTTTTTGGTACGTCAGACTGAGGTGCTGGCATTGGTATTTTATACAAGGTAAAATCAACTGTGATTATAAATATAGTGGCTTCTAAGTTCTAATCGATTTTGAACGATATATTAAAGACTGCGCCCTTCGCTGCCAGTTTCCTAACACATACTTTTGTCGTTGGGTACATAATCAAAGTGCCCCTCTGCTTTTTTTTTTTCTTTTGGTAATCTTTTGAAATTGTGGTAAAATGTTTGTGAAGCGACATGAAAATAATGTAAAGAGGCTAACTAATGAGAGTTAGTCTGCAGAAGCGGTTAGTTTTCACAAAATTTCTGTTAGGAAAGGTCTCAAATTAAGTGTCTGATATTATTTCAAACAAAATGTCTTTAATAGGAGATTACATGTTCCTAGCAACAAAGAAAAACTACAATAAATAAAACGGGGTCCTTTGGATCAATCACGGGTGGAAAATACGTCTAGGTTCTGTGACGGGGAGAGACGAAAGAAGCATATGATGAGAGGCGTGAATGCGGACGTAACAACTGTGAACAAGACGGGCCTTGATAACCTGGAAGGCCCACTTAAGTTTTGACCAAAGAAGGCCCACTTATGGAGTAACAGCAGATTGCATTACCAAAAAACAAAGGTAGGTCCCAGTGTCCCACTGCCCGCCGCCTTTAGAAATCGTAAGAGCCTGCGTCATGTCGCATGCAAACTTCTTTCCTCGCGTTTTGTCTCCCCCTTTAACATTCTTTAAGGTATTTTGGCCGTAACTCTGTCTTAAATATAAAAATTAATTAAACATTTAATTTGTTTATCATATTTGATTATTTTTTCAAAACAATCATGTTAAAAAAACTTTATTCTAATACATATAATTAATAAAGATAATTTAAAAAAGACAACACATATTCATTATAAATAATAAATTAAATAATTTTTTAATATTTTCAAATTAATTAAAGGACCAAGAATATTTTAAACTACATGCTTTATTCATATACTCCTCCGATCCTTAATACAGAACATAATTGTTAAGTTAATTTTGGTTCTAAGTATAAGACCTATTTTTCATATTTATCATTTTTTTCTAAATTATCTCTATAGATACTCCTTCAACCATAATCAAATAAGTAAAGAAGGAAGGATATTAAGAAATATGATTATAATACTTTAGGAAAAACATGTTGTATTTATTATAACTAACTAATTTACCTAATTTCTTGAATCTAATCAAATTAGTTAAATAAATCTTATATTAAGGATCAGAAGAGTCTTATCAGGAAAAAAAAATCCAAACACACTAATACATAAACAATTATACACTACAAATCATAATTCATATAGACACACAAAAATTACTCCAATAGTAGTATGTTGTAATATTTCTCTACGAAGGGAGCTCTATACATAAACTTCAACAATTTATGTGGATCTTTGTCACAAAAAGAGAACAATTTATGTGGATAAAAATACTCTAAACGCTTTTACCCCCGGGGGGGGGACTCTAAACGCAAACGCACTAAAGAATCTAAATAATCTCAGGTGGAAAAAATATCCAAAAACCCTATATTCGGTGTACGATCGGATTAAAAAACATGTGTTACATGGGCAGAAGCTTCACTAAATGCGCAAAATAAAATAACGCATAGGTTTTGAGGTAAAGAATAAAAAAAATAAAATTATGCATGGGAATTGGGAAGGGACGGCAAGCCATGTGAGAGGAGTCAGATTCACGTGCGCACACGATGACAAACATCATTGTGCTATCGTGGTGGCCAAGTATGTTAGAATTACTATTATAAACACGTATATAAATTATTTTGTATGCAAATTAAGACAAATTTTTTTTCATATTTTTATTATGCATTTTGTAAGTTATGATTCAAAATATTCTTATAAATTATTCAAAAACAAGCTCTACTATAATTTCGCCAATTTAAATTTAAAATTTTTAATTAATAATTTTAAATAATAATTTTGAAAAAATAATGGTTAAGAAATTATATTTATTCTAAATTTTGTATTTATTAAAATATTCTTAAAAAATATTAAAAAATTAAAACAGTGCCAGTTTTCGGTCTCACTGTTCACGGGGGACCAACGCATTGTGGATTGTGAAGCTCCTCACATCATAGGACATAGATCGCCCGTGTTCGTTTAATTTTATTTTATTCCAGGATCAAGATACTTTTCCAATTCTTAATATAAGACCTAATTATTAACTTAATTTTGATCATAAATATAAGACTTATTTATCATATTTATCAATTTTTTTCTAAATTATCCCTATAGATATTTTCTCAACCATAATCAAGTAGAACAGGGAAGAAAGATATTAAAGAAGATGATTATGGTATTTTAAGAAAAACATGCCATATTTTTTTAATTAATTAACTTGCCTAACTTTTTTAATCTAATCAAATTAATTAAATATGTTTTATATTAAATACAAGAATATGATTTTTGTCTTTTTCTGCTGTAACTGTGAATGGGGACAAATTGCAAGCTGATATTGAAATTGGATCTTTCAATACATCGTACCTTACGAACATGAAAAGTCAATAAATCTTATATTATCCGAACGCAATTTCAATCCCTGTCCCTCTTTCCTAGGTATCAAACGGGGTCCGCCTTAATGCCGCGTTTCCAGAAAGTAGAGCCAATAATTAATAATTTGAGAAAAATTATGAGTGAAGATCATTTTTAAAAATTATTTTTATATTTTACGGGCTTAGCGCATGCAATGCAACCATGGCGCTCAAATTCATTCCCTGGAAGCTCACTGCGCCGCTTTAAATTAGCCTCTCGGATTCCTTTCTCTCCCGCATCAGTATCATCGACTACTAAGAAATTCCTAAAACCCTATCTCTGGCTTTCTTCATGGCTTCCGAGAACTTCTCCATCGCTGCTGCCGATGACTCCAAGCACGGATTCAGCAGGCCGGAGTTGTACAAGGAGAATCTCGCCGGCACCGCCGATGCATATGACCGTCACGTGTTCGTCTGCTACAAGAACCGCCAGGTTTGGCCTTCAAACGTCGAGACCTCTGACTTGGATCCGCTCCCGAAGCTTCTGGCAACAACTGTTAAATCCCGTAAGAATGATATCACCATAAAGGTTTGTGGTTAATCTGGTCATTAGGCTCCTTAATAGTTGCATTGCTCAGTAGTTGAGTTAGTTCTGAACGATGAAAGTTGATTGATTCATGTGGTGACTACGCGGTGGTTTCATTCTACTTGGCAGACTAAGATTACAGTATGCGAGGCACGAGAGGAGGCTGGCTTCTTGGATGGCGACGTGTTGCTTTTCCGGGAAATGATCAAATATAGGTAAACCCTCTGAACACGTTACGATCTTACTGCTACTATGTATATATATGATCTTAGCGTAATGCCCCTAGCTGTATTTGTTGAACTGGAGTTGGAACTGCTTTATCTATGGATCGGATTTATTGCTCGGAAATGAATGTGTTTTCAATTTCACTTTTTTATGTGATAAGCCTTGGCAGAAATGTAGCTTGTTTAAGTCTAATAGCTATATCCGAAATACCAGTTCCCTAGTAAGTACTCCTTTTATCAAGACTTATTTAACTAATTTGATTAAATTAATAAAAGTAGATAAATTAGTTAATTATAATAAATACGACATATTTTTTTAAAATGCTGTAATTATCTTCATTAATATACTCACACCCTCTCATATGTGATTATGGTTGAAGGAGTATCAATAGGAATATAATTTTAAAAAATTGATAAACATGAGAAATAGGTTTTATATTTATGACAAATATCAACTCAATAATTATATTTAATAGTAAGGATTAGAAAAGTATTACGTGTGGATATCTTACAATTTTGCAAATTGAAGTTTCTCAGAGTTGCTCAAAGTAGGTCATATATGAATTCTCAAAGGCATGTCTCAAAGGCATGAGTGTTTTCTAAGAAATGAGTTTGGATGCTTATCAAGAGTAACAAGTATCTATAAGCTCATCAGATCTGAAAAGTTTAGATTAGGTTTAGATTTTATTTTTTAGATTTTTAAATGATTATTTTAATAGGTATAAAAAAATAACAGCATCTTAACTATCATTTTTTCAACCAAAAAAAAAGAAGATTTTTTTATTGCAAACTAATTAATTAAAAATTTTAAATATGTACTGTGCATGTTGAATATCGACAGACCAAATCTGATAAAATTTAAGAAGTTAAGGAATCTTATATTATATTAAATATGTTGTGTTATTTCTGAGGTCTTGTCTTTTTCTGATTGAAGGGGTCTGACAGTGTCAAACATCGATAGCTTTGTGGAAGATGTTATGGCGAATGGGAAGCCATGGTCTGCTGGAGTCCGGGATGAGATGGCTGGTTCCTATGTGTTTGTTTGCTCTCATGCAAGCCGTGATGTTAGATGTGGTGTTTGTGGGCCAGCTCTCATTGGCAAGTTTAATGAGGAAATTGAGCTTCGAGGTTTGAAGGATCAGGTGTTTGTCTGGGCATGCTCTCATTTAGGCGGCCATAAATATGCTGGCAATGTAATCATATACTGTCCAGGATCAGACGGAAAAATTATGGGTCACTGGGAGGCTCTCATGTCTAATTTACTACTACCTCCAGTCATAATTATAAGAGATAGTTGACTAATTTGAAGAGACTAAATAAATAAGTTGAGTTACTTATTTGTAATAAATAGGTGTTATTCTTTCTAAAATATCCTTACTAACCAAGTATATTGGCTAAAACTACCCTTGTTAGAAGGATTACCTTAAAAAAAAATCATAAATATGAGAAAAAAGTGGATTTAGGTCTCATATTTAAGACTAAAATAAAAGTCAAACAAAGTCTTATATTAAAGATCGGAAATAGTATTATTCTTCCATGTTGAAGAGATTATTAAATATTGATATTTTTTAACTGTGGCTCTTGATAACTAAATTCAGGTACGGTTATGTTACTCCTAATGATGTGCCTGAATTTCTGGATCATCATATTGCGAAAGGAGAAGTCATACAGCGCCTTTTGAGGTCAGTATGATCGGGCAGCACAATCACCTTTGAGTCTGTCTACTACGTAAATAATTAGACTTGATATTTTCTTTAGTAGTGTTCTTAAGTGTTGATTTATGGAATCAGCTGCATGCATCTCAAGTACTTTCTTAGTCTCTTGCACAGAAGGAATGCTAAATTATTTGCATGCAAATTTTTGCAGGTGCCAAATGGGGCAATCAGTTAAGGAAGTCAAGGGAACAGATGGCCAGAAAGTTCCCAGTGAAGAACCTATGGACAAGGGCAAGAATCAAAATGTGGGTGGTTGTTGCCAGGGTGCTAATGGGGTTTCTTGTTGCATGAATCCTCCAAGTTCTGACAAAAACTGAAACAACTGAAACAAAACGGTGCGCGAGCATCTGGAAGGCCCACTTAATTATGGGGGCAATAAGAAAAAGGATAGGTCCCTGCCACCTTGATTGTGAACGTCAATCTTTCGTCCAAGTTCTCCTTAGTTTTTGTGAGCGTTAAGCTGTCGTCCAAGTCTTTTCAGTCTTTGTCGTGTGGATTTATAACTTTTCTACATCAAATTCTTCCGTTTCCTTCTCTTTTTTTAGTCATCTACTGTTATCAGGACCCTTCTTTCTTTTGTTTTCTTTTTTAATTTTAAAAGACAGCATGAAAACGCGCACACAAGTTGAATAGCTTTTCCCGACGTGAGAAAGTTCCTTCTCTACTTCGGCCTAAAACTAGAACTAAAGGATCCTATCACCCTCATGATAATAAAAAGATGAACGTCGAACTGACCTGCGAGATGCAGCCAGATTGCAACCAGCCTTCCTGTTTCACACCTGGGTTTGTATCAGGCAAATCCAATGTGTTTTTACGGTATCTCCTGCGTGTTGTACTGGATTGATTTGACGGGCAAAAAAGTTTTTGCTCTCTCGTTTAAACAAACGCCTCATTTCTGCGCAAAAAGAAATTGTGCTTCTGCATTATTGTCTCGTCTCTCTTCTCTGCACTCGAAAGAAGATTCTGTGTCTTCCCAAGTTACACTCCTGTGACTGCGACTGCAACCACAAGACCTGATGCTTCAAAGTAACCACTTCAACTGCAAATAATCTTTGCAGAATCTTATTATATGTGATGCCACTTGTCAAATTACGTTAGTTAAATTTGGATAGCCAGTGAATGATAAGGATATGTTAGAGGCAGTAATCATATTCATATATGGTATTTTTACTTCTAACGTATCTTTTTCATGACTACTCGAGACAAACTCTGCCAAAAACCTCTCTCTCTCTCTCTCTCTCTCTCTCTCGCGGGGTCATTGCGGGGCATTCCGCGTTGCCTCTAGACTAGCTTGCAGTATCTAGGACTCTATGAACAATGTGGATTATTTTATTATATACTATATCATAAATATAACGGCCTTTTATAATTGATGTTGTATTTTATATATATATATATATATATATCTCTCATAGATTCCGATCTCTACTGCAATTTCTTCACACACTTTCATAGTTGGGCACATAATCAAAGTGCCTCTGTAAATTTAATTTATTTTTCAATCTTTTGAGATTGTTGTTAAAATGTTCGTGAAATGATGGGAAAGGAGGTAAAAAAAACTACTACTTCCGATCATAAATATAAAAACTAGTTGACTAATTTGAATAAATTAAGAAAATAAGTTAAGTTAGTTATTTGTAATAAATATGTGTTGTCTTTCCTAAAATATCCTTGCTAATTAAATATATTGGCTAGAATTACCATTATTAGAAGGGTTATTTTGGAGAAAAAATACATAAATATGAGAGATAAAATATATTGGGATCTTATATTTAGGAGCAAAATAAAAATCAACTAAAATTTTATATTAAAAACAAGAGGCAATACAACAACAAAAATCTGGATCCTTTAAATTAATCACGTGTTGAAAACATTTCTAGATTCTCTTATGGAGGGAGAGAGAAGAGAAGCATATGATGAGAGAAGTGAATGTGGATGTAACAGTAGGCCCAAACTGTCCACAGAGCGGGGCTCGAGAATCTGGAAGGCCCACTTAACTGGGGTAATTAGAAAAAATCAACAAAGATAGGTCCCTAGTATACCCAAAAAAAAAAAAAAAGATAGGTCCCTACCACCTTGACGTCGCGATTGAACTGGCCATAAATCGTAAGAGCATGCGTCATGTCCCCGGCTCACGCCCCACACGATGATGACCCCCTTGCCACGCGCCTCTCCCTCGCGTTTCCTTTCGTCGCTTTTCTTTGTATATGAACTTCTAAATGGGCATACTTGAAATTAAAATATAGAAAGACAATTGTGAAGATTACGCATCTCATATGGGCATTGTCAACGACAATCTATAAGAAATTTCACTTTCATGGTATACATCAATTTTAGGGGTGTTTGGAAAACATCAGAAGTGCTTTTTAAAAATATTTTTTTACAAATCAAGATAAACTCCTCCACATATTTATTTTGTATATCGTAAAATCACTTCTAAAACTATGATTTGGTTTCTATCCAAACATCTCTTTTAATGTCATTAGAACAATTTGCATTTTATGTTCCGGAACCAATTCAAAGTCAGATGCAAGTGATGTGTCGTATATAGTACTATCTTGGCCGTTTGTTTATACTTAAAAAAAGGGTTAATTAATCCGCAAGTCCTTATAGTTTCAACGAATTTTGAATCAGGTCCCTATAGTTTTTTTTTCTTTTTATTAGATCCTTATGCTTTTACCTTTTTTTTAATTAGGTCTTTGTATTTATTTTTCTTTTAATTAAGTCCTTATAATTTCATTAATTTTTAATCAGGTCCATGTAGTTTTAATTTTTATTTATTATTAAATATAAGCTTAATTAAATAGATTAATAATGAAATATAAAATATTAAAAGTATTAATTAATAATTATGTAATAAAAAATAATAGAATTAATTAATTCAGGAAATTTTTTAGAACAATTAATTTTTTTGCTGAAAAATTAAAATCATTATAATAATTCAATATCGTTAGAATATTATTGTTTATAAACTAATATTAAATAATATATACTATTTTATGTTTATATAATAGTAGTATTAGAATTCATAAAATAAAGAATAAAAAATTCAGGGACTTAATTAAAAAATAAATGAACTTATAAGGCTTGATAAAAAGAAAAATAAATATAAGGACCTAATTAAAAACAGTGAAAGTATAAGGATCTGATAAAAAGAAAAAAACTATAAGGACCTAATTCAAAATTCGTTGAAACTATAAGGACTTGCGGATTAATTATCCCTTTAAAAAACATTGATTTTGATTAAGTTATATAAGAGAAATGCTGGAATAACTTTAATTTAAATTATTAAATTTACAACAGTTTGTTTCCAAAAAACTGTTCTTAACTCATATTAATAAGATCTGGCCCCCAAAAAAAAAATTATAAGCTAAAATTGAGATGATTCTTTGAACCCCACCCCCAACAACGAAGATGCCTTAGGCTTGTTAGTAGTCTTTACAGTGCTGGTTTGAATTAATCGTGGATAATTGATTTTGTGTTATATTTCTTCTTTTGTTATTTATAAGTTTTAAATTTAAAAAAAATATGATCTATTTTATACTCTAAGTTTAATTTATGATTTGTTTGAGCATTTAATATTTTTTTAATTATTTATTCTCGCTCATTTGCTATGCTAATATTTATCACATTTTTATACGTTTTTTCATTTATTATAAAGGTATACTTATAAATAAAAGTAAATTTCTTACTTATTTATTTTAAATAATTATTTATTATGTATAAATTAATTATTTGAAATTTATGATAATAAATCGCGGTGGGTTTCGTCCTTCTCCTGGAGTTTTGTCTGACTTTGACACTTTGTTTCTTCTGAAGTTTTCTGATGCATTTTGTCTTTTAAATAAAAAAAGTAAAATATTTGTTTTGAGCCGTCCTAAGCCGGCCTGCAGCACGATACCGTCCGGAATCTACCGATTTCCGATGTTTGAGCCAGCAATAATTATGGAGGTGTGCTTCGGGTTCATGTATTTCTTTGCATTGATAATTCTTTTTCTTTTTTAATTTTATCGATATAATTCAGTCATTTTAGTTCATTCTTAAAGCATGGTTCTGAGGGTGAATTGGTAATTAACAAAAGTTGAAGGACTCCAAACCACATTTCATTTTTTTTTCTTTTTCAATAAAAATCTACCGCGTTAAAACGACATCTTAAAATATTTATTAGCCTTTTAAGAACGGACGCCAATCACATATGAACTGTGAAGGCGAATCACATAATTTATTAATCTAAAATCCCCCCACAGTCTTGGCGATCAGCTCAGCTTAAAATAGAAAAGTCAAATGTTGACTCACTAGTTTGCTTCGGCATTGGCACTCGGCCCCTCACGGATCCCACTTACCCCCTTCTTGCATTAGCCGCTACCTAATACTGCCCTCACCCCGCCGTGCCTTCACGCGCTTGCACGTGCCTTATTCCATAAACATAGTATGCAGGGGAAACCAATCATGAAAATATGTGTGCGCTTTTTGGATTGGGAATTGTTGCTCTGAAATAATAATGTTCCTTTATGGTGTTTTACTATAAAAACATCCATTTGAACAATTTTACAAAATTGTGAGAAGTAAATGCGTAAATTTCCAGAATGCATTGGGGCAAGAAAAAGTAAGGGAGTCAATTTTAATATCTTATTAACAATTATTTTACGTGATATATGTCTGAAGTCGTGTTTTTGTATCTACTTTATTTGCAAGTAAACTTTATTATTCTTTCACTATTTCATTGATTTGGTTATTAAATTATTTACTATTTATCGGTTAAAATTATGTGTAGGATCAGCTTATGAATAAAGTACTCTTCCAGTCCTTAATGTATAATCTAATTGAGTAGTTGATGTTGATCCTATATGTTTAACTTATTTTATGTATTTATCAGTTTTTTTTTAAATTAACCCCTATTAATATTCCAACAATAATTAGCAGGAGAGGGATAGAGAAATTAGAATATACTTATGATGTTCTAGAAAAAATATATCATATTAACTAATTTAACTAATATTCTTAATTTATTCAAATTACTTAATTAAGTTTTATATTAATGATTTTAAAAAAATCTCATATTCTTCTGTCTTGGCGTGTTCATTGAATATCATCTCCCGTACCATAAATGTCCACATTGACGACATCAAATGAAGACTCTGATGCTAAAGATATTGATTCTTAAAATAAAAAAAAAACTTTATTTTTATACATTAAAGGAAAATCAGATGATTTTGTCACGTAGGAGTAACCTTTTTAAGAAGGTTCTGTTTTTCTTGCCTTTCATTTCACGCAGGCTCAGATGAACCTTCGTGTTACTATTTACTATGCTTTCAAAGATTGAAATCATTACTCGTTAGAAAAAAAGAGAGAATAAAGGTGCCCCGTCTCCGGAACGGCTTTCTTTTAAGTAATAATATTCAAACAAAACAGTAAAAACATTGCGTCTTCACTCTTAATATTTCATTAGTCAAAATAATGATTTTCAACAACCAATAAATAAACAAGTTATTAGGTATCAAATTGAGTTTCTCTCCTACAAGAAAGAAACAGCTAGCTACCCAACACATCATCAGCGCGTGCGATGCACCGTCGCGCTTAAATTCATTTCGTTGAAGTTCACTCGCTCCCTCTAAGCCGCCCGATGCGTGCTGCGCACCTTGGACGTTTTTCTTACATCAGCCTTTTGGCTTCCATTCCTCTCACGCATCAGTATCACCGACCAAATTCCTCAAACCCCCTTCTCATTCTCTGCCATCCTTTCGCGCACAAACCCTATCTCTAGCCTCCTCCATGGCTTCCGAGAACTTCTCTACGGCTACTGCCGATGACTCCAAGCACGGGTTTCAGCCGGCCGGAGATGTACAAGGAGAATCTCGCCGGCACTGTCGACGCATATGACCGTCACGTGTTTCGTCTGCTACAAGAACCACGAGGTTTGGCCTCCGCGCGTTGAGGCATCGGACTCGGATCCACTCCCGAAGCTTCTGGCAACAACTGTTAAATCCCGCAAGAATGATATCACCATAAAGGTTTGCGGTTTCCCCCCTATTTATCTGGTCATTAGGCTACTTAGTAGTTGTATGCTCTATAGTTGAGTCAACATTGGATGATGATAGTTGGTTCATGCGTTGACTTGGTGGTCTGATATTATTTGGCAGACTAAAATTACCATATGCGAGGCACGAGAGGAGGCTGGCTTCTTGGATGGCGACGTGTTGATTTTCCCGGAAATGATCAAATATAGGTAAATCTTCTGAATATGTTACGATCTTAGTGCTACTTATGTTAGCTTTCGCGGAAGATATCATTGATTAGTCACTTTCTTTTAGCGTTAAGCCTTTCTGTATTTGTTGAGCTGAAGCTGGACCTGATTTACCTATGGATTTATTGCTCGGGCTGAATGTCCTTTTCGTGTAATAAGAGATAAGCCGTAGCTGAAACTTTAGCTTGTTATAGTCTAACTATCCGATCCGACTATCAGAATATTAGTTCTCTGGGAAGTATTAAATGTGAATATCTTACAGCTTCGTAAATCTTGGAGTCGCTTAAAGT